TGCTTCTTACTGGCCAGCACAATTCTGATTTCTGCAGCTGCTCCAATCTGCCACACCATTACCTCTTCCTCCATCCCTTCTATGTTAACCTCAGTCACTGATATTTCATCCAGCCCTTCCTAATGCCTGGCTTTTATCCATTCGTTGATAAGGAGATCTGGATTGTCATGGCAAGTTGCTTCGTATTTAGCACATTCCAGTCACCCTTCCTCTATGGATGTTTATCAATGTAAATTGAACGTTTTCGACCATTGGTCTCTGGGCTGGTGGTTTTCACCTGCTCGACCCACTGTTCCTCTTCTTATGGATTTTATCACTTGGCCGTTTGATCAGAGGACTTTTGTCTCCTCTATTGTGGGCTATCGGGTTGTCTTATCTCACACTCTTCGTTTTTCCCAGTTCTGTAAACTTTTTACTTCTACCCTTTCACTGTTGTTGCATTCCCTTCAGATTAGTCAACCTCCTTCCAGATTGGGATGTCAGTGTGGTTCTTCACTGCTTTACTTTACCTTCATTTGAACCTCTGTTCTCATGTTTGATTTTTCACTTAACCATTCAGAATTATTTCCTTCTCCTCTTGACCTGTGGACATCATCAGTCTGATTTAGTTGTGATTGACGTTTCACATACCCTGTACCATTCTACATATGTTCTACTTTATTCAGATCTATATTTCCTTCTCAAAACTTTGATGGCAAGTGAGAGTATTCCTTCTTCTCACTGATTTCCCTTCCCACCTATTCTCCTGGTCATTGTTATATTGCCTGCACAGCTTTCTTCTGTGGTACTTGTTTCCACCTCTTCATTCTGTGGCCATTATCCTCTGTTCTTGACCTTTCTCCTTCCACTCTTACCAATTGGGTTTGGCTTTTAACTCAATTAGCTTATTTTTCCTTGTCTCCTTCTTCCCGTAATTTGTTCCAGGTGTCTTCTCACCAGATTAGGCACTTCACCTTTTCCCTGGTAGTTCATCTCCATTGTCCATTGGAGGAAATTTTTCATTTGGGCATGTGGACCACACTGCATACATTCATCTCTCCCTATCTGCATCGGATAGATGTTTCTTTCTCGTTGCATTATCATCTTCCACCTGTTGCCATTCTTCAGACATTGGTGAGACTGTGACTGGGTAAGCTATCTTTTTATATATATATATATATAT